CAGACTTTCGCGATTTATGTTCGCTCTATAAATTTCTAAGGCTCAGCCTCCGAGCGACGTTGAATCATTTCAGATTTGTTGTTTATTTCTACGGTTCAAAAAGGTGTATCGTTGCCCGACCGGATATTTTAGAACCGTTTGAAATTCACGCTCTACTTAATAATGCATTTAGTTCCTTTTTCTCCTCGAGACACACTCGTCGGCCAATTTATTTAAAGTACACGCTGATTCGTAAACCTGGTTAAATAAACGGGACAGCGCATAAGTAAACTCGATCGTTGGAAAATAGAAAGGCGGTCTGTTCGAAAATTTTCGCTTATCTCCTGGCGAAAGCCGCAGACGCGGTTTCAACTTGCACGATATTTCGTGTCCCCTTTTCAGCGCCGGTATCACGGCGTAGATCGTTAATTTAGATACAAGGTTTCGATTAAATTTAATAAATGCCGCGTTTGAATTCCGGTCAGAACGGTTACTATCGATATTAACCCGCGCGATGAATATTAATGTCGTTATGCTTCCTGACTTGGCCGTGTCGAGTCGCTCCCACGGGTGTTCTCGAACCGTGGTTCGATTCCCGCCGTTTGCCAAAATTGAATGTCATCGACTGCCGTTCGATACTCGTTCCTCGACGACGTCACGATTTACGGTCCGCTCGCAAGGAACTCTCAACAATGTTAATTAAACCGTTACGCTTTGTTTCGACGAATCGTCGGGCTCGTCGTTTTCTCCTCGGAAATCGACTCGCAACTTCCGTCGCTGGTGGTTTTATTTTTCGACGATTCCGTTGCTCGGAACAGCCCCGACGGATTGCAATCGATTCATCGACCCAGCAGAAAAACTTCCCTCGACCTGTTACCCGAACGCACGAGTTTTATCGCTTTTGATTAACGAGCCGTGGCTAATGGACTGCGCTTTTGTTTAATATACATCGGTACGTTTATTTAATGAACTCTCGCTCGGTCGTAATTAAATATTACGCAATGCAGAAATATACGATGTAACGCAATCACCCTTTGCGAGAAATAAATCAAAGGTAAAACAGTTTTGAAGCTGTGCCTTAAATTACGATATTAAAAATAGAAAAGTTCGACGATCGTTCCGTGAAAGATCACGGTAACGATCGGACATCGAGTCGGAGGTTTCGGGAACGATCGTTAAAAGATTCTGTCAGCTTGTACGCGCGAAGGATTTGTCACAGGATAACTCGCGTCGCTTCGGGCCGGGTCTATCCATTTATTTTGCACCGAAAGAAGCCATTAAAAGTCACGAAAGGTTCGCAGATATTCGGGCGGCTGCGCGTCAGGTTCGAGTCGCTTTGCTTTCGTTCGAAAGCGACTGATATGCGACGGATTAAAAGCTTTCCTGGCCCGCTATGAATCTGCGTAAGCAGTTTCTCCTCTGATTTATCGCGGAAAATCTGTCTATCGTTCGTGACGTACGAGCCATTTTGACGAATCCTCTATGGGCACTTCAAAACCGACGTTTCTCCGCGATTATTCGGAGAAGAATGCAATGGTAATGTTAGTCGTGGAAATGTTCAATTCAAAGAAATTATCATGGATCGTTTCGTTTAATAAGAAAGGTAGAGCTACTTTGCTCGAAATATTCTTACATAAATTTAAATTTATATAAGAATCCTCTAACGTAGACTGGAAGTACGCGTAATACAGATAACTGTACCTTGTGCTAGAATATGGGGCTGTCTTTTGAACAGGGGTGGTACCAGATATACAATACGATCACAGATGACTGCGCTTTGTTGCGGTAAGTGCAGCTATCTTTTAGACGGTGGTACCAGTCAACATATGTATAATGTTTCGACAATCACAAACTACTGTGTCTTGTCGTAGAATGCGCGACTATCTTTTAAACCGGGTGGGACTAGTCTACGTGTAATAAATCGACGATCGCGGATGATCGAATATGCTGTTTTTCGCACGTACAATACGAGAGTCGTTCCTTCTCTCTCTCGAAGATTATGATCTCGAACTTTGGCCCCGCGAAGTCGACCCTTTGCCAATCGAGGAGAGTTCGAGCCGTCCAGGAGGAGAGGTCGCGTCTGTTCGCGACGAGCACCGTTCAGAATGATTCATCACCGATTTATTCTCGCGCCGCGGCCCGATTTCTGATTCCGCCAGTTCATTTCTGGCACATGTTCCGCCGATTACGTCAGCACCACTCTAATTAACGACCGAAATTCCAGTAAGTGCGCCGGTTGAGCGATCGTAGGTCCAGACGTTACCCTCGTCCGTACTCTTCGGACCTTCGATCCGACCTGGGAATGGAATTGAAATTAACGATCTTGGAACGGTCCCCGGTAGTTCAGTTTAAAATCTAACGCATAGATACGAAGCCAATATTCGTTTCGTAAGTAATTAGCTTGAAATAATTTTCGCCCGGTTCTCGGTGTCGCTCCTTAATTACAAAGTTCGGTGTTCCAGCAAACACGCTTCACTTTGCTTAATTTCTGAAAAGGACCGAGCAACCCGCAGGCTTTGTTGCGGCGGCGGTCGGCCGCGGGTTTAATAAATTCGTGTTTCAGCATTTTTCTATTCCCGCGCCCGCGAGACGGCGCATTTTACACGACTCCGCGGAATAAAATGCGACGAACGTTGCTCCGGCAGCCCTCCGCGCCGCTGGATAAGCTCCGTTAAGCCCCGGGAGCAAATAAAGTGTCAGTCGCCGGAGGGGGTTAATCGGATTCACTTTATTAATTAGGTTTCTTCCGCGTTCTACGTTCATTAAGCGAATCTCCTCCGTAATGCTCACTTTCCCCGACTAGCTACGCTTAGAAAAATTCCGATGCCTACACCCTCATCGATCGAGCTCCATAATCTACTATAATCACTATATCTTGTACCAATCGTACCGTTTAAAACAAGCCCGAGTCGTTTCACAATGTTAATTCTGAGGTTGATTGCGTCGAAGCACGCTGAATGCTTCTGATAGCGTTTCGGGTGAAAAATCTGGCCGGTCATCAAGACGAACAATCAAATCCGGCTCATTAATTCTCCCTCTTTCCCGCGGGGGTATCCGTTTTGCAAAACGTCGTCCTGATCTCGTCGTTTCGTTTCTGTCGGTCGAGTGCTTCGGAAGCTTTTAGGATCTCTTATTCGAACTTTTCTCCGAGGGTCCTCTCAACCGCATTTAATGACCTCTTCCCTCCCTTGGCGAAACCTCCATTCTTTCCTGCCCTTATTTTGTTAAACGATGCCGTCTCTTACTACCATTCTCTTTACGACTTTAACACGTGCTAAAACACATTGTACCGTCGTCTCTGATTCTACGTTGAAACAATAAATAACTTCTTGTCTTCCCGCTCTCGGATGTAGGAATATTCAACGCAATTTCTCGTAAGCGAAATCCGGAGAAGTCCCGTAGGAAATTTTTCCAGCATCGGTATTTCTTGGTTTCGTTGGGATCTTGGAGGTTCTTAGCCAGCGTTTTCTCTCGCGCTTCCAATTCCCCGTTCGTCGGCGACGAATAAAACACGAGGGAGCGGATATTGCTTTAGTTACCATACCATTCGGGCCATTTTGGCCCTGCTTGACGAGCTCTACCCCCTTTCGACTTCATTTATTTACCAAACGGAGACAGCGCCGAATAGGTACGCGAGCGAATAGCACTCGTGGACGAACGGTCGCCGGGAACGTTTCATCGCGAGCCGCGGAAACGGACGGGATCATCCTGTGGAAACTTGGAAAATTGGGTCGCGTGATTTTTCCGGGACGAAGAAGAAAGTGGGCACGCCGATTGAACGATGTCGAGGACGTCGATGAATGGTTCGGGGGATGGAGGGGTGAACCGACTCGTACGCGATGACACACCACCGGAAGAGGAAATGGAATCCTCGCCGCTTTGTGCAACGCTAACGACTTCGATAACGATGCCCATCGACACCAGTGCTCCTTTTAATTCGGCGGGCTGTTAATAATGCCCGTGTTAGCCGCCAATGGCGGACAGAGGCGATAAAGAAGTCGATGCATCGGCGAGAATTCCGTGCTGGCAGCTGTGCCCGCGTCCTCGAGCTAAAATGCACACTCCGGTTTCAGTAGCTTCGAAACCCCTAATCAAATAGCGTATAGACGTCGAGCTAACGCCTGGCTGCTTTCACGTGTACGCCACTTTGTCCTTTTCATCGCAACATCATCTTTTAATCAACCGAGTTCGTTCAATTATTACACTTTACGCATCTTTGGTGTTCCCAGTCAAGGTTTGAAAATGTCCCAGCGAAAGTGCGCAGAACTTCTCGGTCGTAAAAGCGGGAGAAAAGTTTCGAGCATGAAAGTGCAAGCTTCCTTATTTCTGTTCAAATCGAAGTTCCTCGAGAGATTTTTCGATAGACCGTTCGAAATTACTACGGCAGGGCTGGCGACGAAGGCTGGGTCGAGGCGTCGAGAGGATATATTTCGTGGAGTTCCGGTTCCGTTCTCCGGGGAACGCGACGAAACTTCCGTCGAGGGTGGAAAAAAGAGCGCTCGATAGTCATGGAGGAGCATTTCGTGGAGTTCGCCAGGCAGTGGCGCGTATTCCCGCGGGCGGACCGAAGCCTTCCTCGAGCGGAAAAGTTCAGGCGAAAAGTATGCGCCGAGATAGCGTTCTTCGTCACGAATACGAGTCCGATAGTTTTCCCTTATCGTTAAAGGCCTCGATCGCTCTCGACCTTTTTCTTTCGCTGTTGTTTCGACGCGCCGTCAGGAACCGTCCATCGATCTCTATCGAAATTATTTAAAAAGTTGCGAAAATTTGTTTCGTTTCGTTTCTCACCTGGCAGCCACAACGTCGACGATTTTACGACGGGCTAAGAGCATCGCCGAGTGTACCTGGATGCGGTCGATCGATCGGTCGAACGGCTGGCCCTTCGCCAAAAGTCCTTCGCGAAACAGTCGATAAAAGTGTCCTCCGATTCCGAGCTTTTAAACGAGGCTTGTCACCGAATCCATTGTCAGCCGCAGAGGCTTTGATCGAACGATCTAACGAACTTGTTTATTACTTTTTAGAACAAGATGGAGGAGCAGAGATCGCGGAGGATTCAGAAGATCGTCGAAGGCTTGTTGCCGACGACGATGGACCCGAAGAACCGAGCCTCGGAGACCGACCTGCTGTTGCAATTCTGCTTGTCCCTCAGCAAGGTGACGAGGCGTCGTAATAACTACTAGTCCCTTTAAGATTTTGCCTTCCAACGTTATCTTGCCCTTCCGGTTTGCAGATCTATCCGAAGCACAAGGACCTTTACAACTGGGTGGACGTCGATCAGAGGGTGTACGTTCCGTTCAACATGTCCTATCTCCAGGAGAGCTTCGGTTATGTGAGTAGAGACGTTAACGCGTTGGGCGATTAGTATCGGTGAAACGACGCATAGGAGAAAATGATTTGCTTCGTTCCTGGGTTAGATAAGGTGGGGGACGCTGCTGAACGCCACTTTAGGCGCCACCACTGCCGATCTCTACAATCATAGCCACGACCGGGGAAGATCCGTTCAGGCCTTCGAGGATCAGCTGATCTACGTTTACGTCACCGCTCCTCGTTACTTTCGCAGCCTCGGGAAATTGCTGAATCGGTTCTCCAGAAGGTAAGGGACTTTACGGCGAGATAGAATGCGCGGGAAAAGTCTATCGGCCCCTCCCGACGGTGAACATTTGCGGTAACGAGGGTTGGTTTTTCCTTTCGAGAGAATCGAGGTTGGTCAGTCAGGACCTCGGACGCGAACCTCGATAGCTCGAGAATTTCTCGAAGGATCAAATATATTTCGGACGTGGAAGGTGTTGATAAGTATTCAGAACTTTCAGGATCAATTCCTGAATGGCGTTTCCTAGCGTTGCTCGCCATACCAGATCGCTTTCCACGCGGAACGAAACAGCTGACACAAATTCTCCAAGTCCTCCGTCTTTCTGGATTTCGATAAGAACGAATTTTAGCTCTGACAAGCCAGAAAATAATTTACTGAGGGATTAGCCTCGATTCTTCTTCGTTCTCCCACGACACTAGGCTTGGTAAAAATAAACAACTTATTTTATCGCACACCGGTCGTATAATCAATAGGAGTTGCCGAAACGTCTTTCGGTATGTAGAGTCAAAGTAAATGTCAAAATAAACAGAGAAGACAGCATAAAAAATAATAGTTGGTATGGTCATCGGATAGGGGATGAAATGCCCTTTAAAATGAGCGTTTGTACGAGTGGATAGCTTCATTAGTTCCGGAGATATAGCGATTTTAATTTCAAGTCGATGCGGTGGCTAGTTTCGGAGCTAGGGTTTGTTTACGTTTCGTCGTTGCGCTCGCGCGAGTTCATTGATCTCGCGCGCGTAGATAGTAAACAGTGCATAGTAAATTCTTGGAAATACTACGCCAAAACTAGGTCACGACAGTCACGTTCGCGAGGTAGGTCAGCACGATGCACGTGCGACAAGGAGGTTCGACGCGACGCGTCAGACGAAGACAGAGATAAAAAAATTACCATTTACATAAATTACGATATCTCCGAAACGGGAAGTCTGATCGTCAAAAACCAAAAGCCATTTTAAAGGGGAGGCCCTGCCGCTTCTAACAATTGCTTAATTATACATAAAACACCAGTAGTTTCGAAACTGCACGCGTCTAAAGTTTAACTATTTTTAATACGCTGTTAGACTGTTCTGTGATTGGAAACTGGTGATTCATTTCTCTAATCTTTAATCTTATACATATATTTCCTATTTATATCGAAAGTTAGCCAGAATTTGTTACCAACATTTGTCCAATTGTTTACAAAAAAATAAAAATCATTCAACCGGTCATAGTAGGTTTATTGTGTGGAATTGTAACTTAACACGATAAATATTCTATCAGTGGTTGTGAGTAAGCTTACCACTTTAATTTACAATTTAAGAAACATATCCGATATCTCAAATTATTAAATTAGATGGAAAAAAGTCGATTTTTTGACCCGTCACTCGAGGTTTCCCCATTAAGGAACGCGTCAATGAGGTTTTCGCGTCGCGTTGCACTTAAAATTTTCAGCAACGGAGTATCCGTCGAAGCTTCGAATCCCCGATGAATTTTTTAAAACCAGGGGGTCCTCGTTGCGCGATTTCATTCCGAGGTTTTCAATTCTCTTTGCTCGAAAGGTTTTAATTTCGCAGCGTGCAAGAACCGAAACGAGCTATCGCGTTTCCGCGACGGCAGAATAAATCTGCACGTTAGAGGTCCGCTTCTACGCAACGGCAATACACACGGATCGATTGCGTTAATTAAAACAACGGCAAATTGCGCACGCGAGTGCGCTACCATTCGAAAGAACGATTCTTTCGAGCCAGTTTCTGGATAAAAAGTTGCTGCAGCTCGCGGTCTAGTCATTATTATCCTCGCGCGTGACTCGTTTATTAACCGAACGACCGGTACCATATTAAAAATAACGACGCTCGCTAACTGTCATTATATTAGCGTTTTTTACGATCGCTAACTTTGTTGCTGCCCCCAATATCGCTGCTGGAATCATTTTTCCTACAGGTCGAAACTCGTGCGTGCTTTCGAACTTTTTATTCTACGATCTAGATCGCATATTATTATTATGAAAGGGTTTTACTACCCATACTTAAGGGTACATAAAGACATGCACTCGTACAGTCTGCTGTTTTGTGCAACCAAACATTTTCTATTGGGTCGGCTAACACGATGATAAACATTTTTGTTTTTCCACTCGCGATAAGTGCTTTCTAAGTGTAAGCAAAGTTTTTGGACGGGAATATAAAATGTACTCCCACGACCTGGAAACAGTCCAGACGCTTAATGTACGACAAATTTGCGAAGATTGTCAAGGCTAAACCAACGAAAATTACGGGAAGAATAAAAGTACAGTTTATCGAAAAGACAATTAAAATTTTGGCAAGATAAATGTATTACAAAAATCCACGAAAGAAACGTAGATTACATTGTTGTTAAAAGCTGAACGCGACGAGAATTGAAATGTTCTATGATTTTTCTGGTCCTCCGGCACGCAGGGAAATATTTTAATATCGACTCGCGTTTAAAGTGTTTTCCGAGGAAATTTTATTTCGCTGTTTGCGCGTCGGGAAAGGGAATATTTCATCGAGGCGACCGTTAATTCGGTTTACGTCTTCGTTAAAGCAGGCTCCGATAACGCGCTTGTTCAGGAAGCTGGGGAATCGTTGCTCGCGGGAATAAATATCGGACGACTGGCACGAATTGGCTAATGAATGGATATTAATGAAACCAAACGCAGCCATCTGACCGGAAGAATTTAATTACGCTTTGGGCCACATTCGTCTTCGTTAGCCACGTCGGGTGCGTCAGAAATATTGTTATTGAACGCGATCCTTTGTGGATCGTACCGCCTGTTTCGCGGTATCGAAGGAAAAAGACGAAGCTATATAACTAGAATCGCACGGTTCAGTGGCGGTATAGTGATTTTAAGCGGTCAGTATTTATTTACAAATCAACGATTCGGGGTACCAAAGGGGCAATTAATTTCTCCCCGGTGTTTCGGTACACAAATTTTTCAGCGCATCAACTGTTTTACAGAAAATCAGAAATATTCTATATGGAAAGTTCTCTTCAGGAAGCGTAACGTACAATTAAAATAATTTTCCTATTTCTCCATTCGATGAATAAAGTTCTGATCGTCGAGGTCTTTCTCGTTTCGTTGTAATTACAGACGGCGATTTCAAAAATCTGCGAACGTAACAATTTAGTAAAAAAAGAAAGCTCTCGTTTCATGACTCTCTTTTTTTTTTTTTGTTCAACTTTCTGGCGGTCGTTTAATCAGTGGCGCGAAGAGAGTCGAACAAAATGTGGTCTTGATTGCGAGGGTCGCGCTTCGGCCGTTGTCGAAACGCCCGAAGCTCGCGAGAAATTGCACGTTCGAGGGATTAATATATCGAATTGCACGGTTATTAGGAAGTAACAGTACCTGTGGAAAATTTGTTTGTACATTAATCGACGCAAACCGTGGAATAACGGACCTGTCGCGATGGAAACACAAATAAGTCGGCCATAGCTCAGTCAATTAGCGATCCGTTCGATTATAGTAATTTCTCGTTTATTGAATTTAAAGTCGAATTCTTCGGGAAGACGTAAAGCGGGCTGGAAAATGCTTGGACGAGGTACTTGTCAACGGATACGCGACAAAGCGTTGAAACACAGGAAACGGAATTTCAGTCGGGGGGGGAATGTTAATTTCGAACTGCGCGTTAAATATACTCTGGGCTGTAATTTAGCGGGCATTCGGAGGCCACTGGTTTACTCTCGAGCGGTTCGAAAAATAAAGATACGACCCTTAAGATTCGAAACGAGAGTCTCGGGTGCACAGGCTTGGTCCAACGAACGTTTAACGATAACTGCACCACGAGCAAAGGGAAACGCGGACAACCACCTTATCTAAATAGCTTCGAAAACGGGTGGTAACCAATTATTGTTAGTTTCACGAGAAAACGCAAACTTATTCGAGCGGTTTGGCGATGCCAGCCAAGGGGAAATTTTATCCCGGAAAAGGAACAAGGATCGTTAACTTATCCGAACAGTTTCCGAAAGAAGACACCAATTATTTACATTGCGGTTCTCATGGCAGAACGCACATAACGCCAACTACTCGTTTAAGAAAAACTTTCTTGATAGCAACGTGACCAAAATAAACTTCTATGGAACAGGAATCCGAGACTGCATTTGAATAGTCTTCCAAGAAAACAAGATGCGTTCAATCATCTATTATAGGTGTTTCAAGCATAGAATAATTCAAAGCAGAAAACTTTTGAATAATAACAAGGTCTATTTAAACAGATTTAAACTAGAATGCACAATGATAAATCTATGTCAGTAAGTAAATTATGCAAAATATTGAAATTAACTCTCCTAAATGTGTCCTCGGCAATAGGCAAACGAATGGACATGGCTGCGTCACGTTAATGCAATTCTATGAATACCGAAATAGCAATTTCAATAGATTAATGAGTTTTCTTCGTCGGAATAAGTCCAAACGTGACGTTTATCGTATATTGTAAATATCATTTCTTCCTTTTAGCAACCGCGGGATTCGATATTGGTAAATTAAATTTTAATTAAAGATTTATTTCGATCCAACGTATGGTGCTTCCATTTCTGTTTCTCGCTGTGGGTTAAGAATTTTGTCACCCGCGCGAAAAGAAGATGCGATTTCCCACGCGATAGGTATCCATGAACCGTGGTCGATTTGCTCGCGTAACGCGATCGCGGTGAGTTTTTGTCAGGGCAGTTGGAACTCCGTAAGCGGTGAAACGACGCGTCATGCTCGAACAAACTTCCCGAGCGTCGATTACCGAAACGTACTGATTACATTAAACGAACTTCTCGCCACGCTCGGTTGGATTTCGCGGTGTACGAGACAGATTGCGTGTTCCGAGTATGGAACGTCGTCGCACACCGACGGACTTCCCCATCCGACGATAGCTCCGCCGTCGGATTTGCATAATGCACATTTAGGGGCGCGTGCAAACATCGCCTGGTCCTCCAACGACACTGTTATGTTGCATCCTGTTGAGCGATTCGCCTAAACTCGCCGGAATGCCTACATCGACGCGTCGCCTGTTCCGATGAAATTGTCACGCAGACGACGACGCACGTTTCACCGAGAAATTTACTATTTATTATTCGCGTGAAGCTTAAGAACGATACAGAAGATATTTCCCTCGCGAACGTTCCTCGATGATATTTAATTACATGGAAGTGGTCGAAGTTGGGAGTGAAATGTTTATCGAACAACGATGTAACTTTCTTCGGGGCGTCGGAAACGTTTCTGTAGCAACATCAAACCGATCCATTACCGCCGAAAGAAAATGCCCGGCCCAGGGGTTGAATTTAATTAGCGAGCGGAACGTTCGACGCGTAAATTGATTCCTCGATCGAGCCACTTCAATTGCAGCTATTCAGACTTTAAGGAGAACGAGAGGAGAAGTTGCGGCTTATGAAAGAGGTTTCTCGGTATGAGGTTTGCTCGAGAAGCTGGCTAGGATACCTTAACTTGCGTTATTCGGTCGACGATCGCAAGGAATGCATCCTTTTCCAGAAAATTCAAGGAGAATTTCTTAGATCGTCGGGTCTACGGTTTCTACCCGAAGCTGGGGAGCCATAACTGTCTTGTAATGCAAGGGAAATTTCTTTCGAATCGTCTGATCAACGTTTTCTTTGATTTGTCACGATTCATCGGATAGTTCGAAACGGTTAAAAGATCTTCGAGTCGAATAATAATCACGGCTCGGTGACGGTGAACTATCGGTTCGGAATCCTGTTAGCCTTAATATTGACAGAATAGACTGATAGACGAGCAAACATTCGGGATTCCAAAACGCCAATCTTGGGAGACTGCACACGCTGCTTGCTATTATCTTCTGTAGACAGACAGACGCAACTAGGGATGAATACAGCCAGCAACCGCGATAATTATTGCCGAAGGTATTCCGTGTAACGGGAACGAGACGTTCGCATCCTGCCGCCAATCTCTGCTCAACCATGTATAGTAATTAATGCTCGGACTTGTTCCTACCAGAATGCAGTTTCAGTTAATTCCGGCCAGCTGGAACCTCAGCGTAATTACGATACATTTTTGCCTCGTTAACGTCGTCGTTTAGCCGTACTATTTGAAGCCCCTGGCCCATTATCCTTTGGTTTTAGTAGGTTCCTAGTTTCCAACTCCTTAATTTTCAGCCCTTAACGTCCGATATCCAACACGCATTCGTCATACTTTCTCCTAATTTCGTCAAACGAGCCCCGAGTATCGCGTCGATCGACTATTTTCGATTAATATTCAAATCGACTTCGATTAATATTTAAATCCGTAAATTGAACGGTGCTTTACATGTCAGAGAGATGATTAGCACGCGGAATACCATCTTCTGAAACATTAACGAGTAGCGAAGTCGGCGCGCAACGTAGATCGCGGTAGGCTGCGGTTAATAAACGTAGCGCAGCCATAAATTTTAATGCCACTACCCCAGCACGCATCGTAAATCGGCGCCTAATTCGTCCATTACCCTTCGTCGAGAAATTTCACCCCATCTGTGCTGCGCGGTTAATACCGCGCCGCCGGAAACTGAATTTCTGCGTCTACGAAATTATCCGTTGCCATGAAATACCAGCTAGGCAGTTGCGTTTAATTTGTCGCGCGGAATCGAACGTTTCGATTTACCGTGAAAGAACCGTGTCTTGTATCGATTAGCGGAAAGAGAATTATAAATTTCGGTCTTTCTCGAAATGAGCTCTCGGTTTCGGCCTGCCGCGACCACCGACGCGAACAATCAATAGCGCTAATTCGTTATGCTTTCGGGGGCAGCTGTTCATTATTATAGCTTCGAGGCAATTATCCCTTGGATGAAATATCGCTTTTACTATTATACGGATATCTAATGAAGTTAACGGTTCCCCGAACTTTACTTTCTTAATCTAAACGAGGTTAGTCCGCTCTCTAAACTATCGTGACTTTCGATCTTTTCCTCGCATCGATTTCCAATTAAGATTAGCGGCGTTCGATCGCGGTGTTAAATGTACGCGAATCTTTCATTCGTCGGAAACCAGAGAACGAATACTCACGTACGTGTTTTATTGCGAAGGATTATTCACAATGGATTGCTGTTACTGTACGCGGTAGACACGCTCCACGACATCGTGAACGTGACCGCCAGCAAGAATTGGGAGTTGTCTTGCTTCAAATTGACAAAGAACGTGTTCAGCGAGGTGGTTGGCGCTTTGTACGTGCAGCAGTACAGTCCTCAGTATTTGGAGAAACTGGCTAACAGGGTAAGCCGACGACAAACGAGATTAAAACTTTTCCCATCGCGATCTACGCCTAAACAGAGAAGATCGTTGAACAGAGAAGATCGAGGGAAGGAAATGGTTTCTGTTTGATCGAGGATAGGTGGCGGGACTGTTCGAGCGCGTGAAGGAGACGGTGGCCGAACGGATCTTGGTGAAGTCCTGGCTGGACGAGGAAACGAGGACGCAGGCGTTGCTGAAGCTGAACTCGTTGCGGGGAAGATTTCACGTGTGGCCTGGTTTCTACAACGAGACGCTGCTGGCCCGCGAAATGGCCGAGGTGAGGCCTCCCTCGCGGTTCTTTGCATGCGACGCGCGCCCCTAGACTTTGCGATTAAACTTCCGCGGGCTCCTCGTGACCGACGATCACTTCCGGCAGGTGAAGATCGATCCGGACGACTTCTTCCGCAGCGCGCTGAAGCGGTTCCGACAGATTCGCACGGTGGACGACAAGGTTCTGCGGAGGAACGTGACCGAAAAGTGAGGATCTTCCCTCCGACCTCTTCGAACTCAGTCTGTGATTTTAACGATAGATTTATAGACATAGATTGCACATAATGTTTACAAGTTCTGTAGGTCCTGACGAAGTTCCTGAAGAGGCAAAGTTGTTTGACTTGAAACTTTGTGCTTGCAGACGCCGTCATCCGTACAGCGTGACCGCTTATTACGAGTCCTCGACAAATACGATCGGTAAAATCGATTCTTAGGCGATTCGCGTAATGGTACGATAGGAATTGCGTGATCCTTCGTTGATTTTAGGTATCCCACTGGCGATGATGACTGCTTGGTCGTGGTCCTGGGACGGAGGTCCTGCGTACGCTGCCCACGCCACCTTGGGATCGGTTATCGGCCACGAGATCCTCCACGCTTTCGATCTCCATCGACGTCGACTGCCATTGGATCCCGACATGAACGTCGATCAGTGGCTCTGGATCACGCCGGAGTCTTGGAAGAGGCTGGAAGCGAGGATCGAGTGCGTCGCGAGACTCTACGCTAGGAGCTTCTGGAGGAAAGTACAGTTTTATGGGAACGACGTTGCTGTACAGGTGAATAACAATTATTTAGATATCTGATTTATCAAGATCGTTGTCCGCTCGATAGATCCCATTTTTGATGCACGTCGTGTCTGCAAACGACGGTAATTCGTCTCTTGCCTTATTTAAATAAGCATATCGGTCCATGATCCTCTGCATGTGATGAATAGGGCCATCATTCATAGACATTGCACCTCAAACTATAGCACGGATCCTGCCTCCACGTAATATCATCCGTTTAATGCAATTCCGACTACATTCTTCACCGATACCCCGTCTGACATACATTTTACCATCCGACGCAAACCGATTTGCTATTAAATCGATTCTTCTCCGAGACGAGACGTTCTTTTAAATGCAATTCGTTTCCCGTCTTCGTGTTTCGAGATTATTGGAACAACTAGCTAGTTAATAGAATCGAATTTACAATTTCCAGTATCTCTAATAGTTTCCTGGAGTTACGTCAATAGATTTGAAAATAATGAATCCCCTTCCGGTATGCTTTTCAAAGATAAGCGCCTTGTTAATTGCCGGGATATTGCAGAGGGTTTAGCCAACTACTTTAAGTCTGTCTATCAACCGGTAAAAACTTGAATTAACAATTTTCAGTTTAATTCCACCCTTGATATCGCTGACCTTAATCTCGATATAGGCAAAGTTTTTGAGTGCCTTAATTCTCTTACTCTCCAAGGGTAATCCAGCCGATGATAATATCCTCTCAATTTTTTCTCAAACCCTTGTAAATTCATCGCGGCACGAATCTTCGTAAATTCTGGGCTACTCGTGAATTTATTTTCAGTTCGACTGGAACGTTACGAGGAACGAGAACGTGGCGGACATTGGAGCCTTGCAAATTTCTTATAAAACCTGGCACACTCTGACGAACGGGAAGGATCGAAGTCTTCCTGGATTCGAGGGACTTCGCGCGAGCCAGCTTTTCTTCATAAGCGCCGCCCAGGTACACCAAAAGATCATAGATTACGTCCACGGATCAAGGATCGTTCACTCTTAAGACTGTGTTTCAGACTTATTGTTCTAATATGACTGCCGAGGCCTACATTCTCTCCGTTGAACTAGATTATCACACGCCTCAGCCTGAAAGGTGATTTCATAGATCAGGAAACTAGTCTAGTCTTGTCTTTGAAAAATATCGAACATTTTTATTAGCGGTAGATCGGTTTAACGGGTTCCACGGTGAAATAGTAGCAATGATTTTAGGGTCAACGGTATAATGATGAACTCCCAGGCATTCGCGGACGCGTTCCGTTGCCCGATCGGAACCAAAATGAATCCCCCGAACAAGTGCACCACCTGGTGATGATCAGGCGCGGACAATCGTTCGCCGATTACGTCAGACTTCATTCACCAACATCAGTTCTCGATCATTGGGATTCGGCTTGGAAAAGCGGTGTCCTGCAATTGGAGACCAATGGCGACGAGGATTGACCAATTTTTCAGCGTTTGTCGAGCGATCCTGCGTCGGAGGGAATCGATTCAGGTACTCGACGGATCAACGATCCGTTCGAACAGATTTTCATACCTTTTCTTTTAAGGAATTCTATCGGAAGGGGAGGATCCATCGAGCAGAGCGCGGTGAAACAACGCGAGTAATCGACAACGTCCGCTCGATCGCGACGACGAAGGATCGATCGATAGAGTAAGCTTGTTGCGATGTTTCGAGAGTCTAAAGGGTGCCGATCTCCAATTCGGTCGTCGAGGCAAAACTCTTTCAAACGCGCCATTATTGTTAATATCTCTCCCTATGACGCTTTAGAGGACCTTAGATTTATCATAGCGAAAGCAATAAATTATACGGAAGAACAGACGAGAAAGTGATATATACGCAAAAAGATGAAAAAGATAAAAAAAAAATATGAAGACGTACACGCAGGAGTAAACACACGTACACACGCAGAATAAGCAAATTATAAAGCGCTTCGATCGTTCAGTTTGCGACGAGTCGGTAGATATCGGTAAAGCTTGCTGGTTGAAGTTAGCGATCGACGTTGTTTCTTAGGGGCACCGACGATGTACGAGTTTAGACGAAAGATCGAAACTAGCGAGTCTACGAATCGCCTGAATATCTTGCACGAACAAAATCGACTCGAGTGCAACGTTAGGGACGCGAAATACCTCTCGTCTTCTTTGGAACTCGGAGGATAGAGAGCAGCCTTTAGTATCGTACGAACAACGAGCGTCGAAGGATCAACGATTCGAGGGGGAGGAAAGAGGATCGATGAACAAAGACGTTGGCGAACGCGAACTGCAAACATTTACGAAGCGGATCTATTTAGTTTCTCGCGCACCGATTGTCTTCGCTCTTGTTAGTCTGCAACGTCTGTAAATAACTTTTCAGTTTAGTTTAGTTGACCTGGAACAGCACGAATACGATTCGAGCCGACCGCCGGAGGATTTAGAGATCAGGTAGATCAGCGCGCGCTTTTATTCACCTGTATTTCGCTCGGTTCTTCTTCGTACGGACACAAAACTCTTCGATCAACGCTTCGCTTTTATCGGTGATACCGTTTCGCTCGGTTCTCGATGGAAAAACGTGTTTCAGTTGACTCCAGTCGATCCCGGCGAGCAGCTCACTCCTCGCGACACCGAAACCCACACACTTTCGTTGTCATTTGTTCCGCCATTTCCGCGACAAAACAATGAGACACTGGATCCTTAGCGATCTATAGAGCCAGTGGTATGTACAAAGATTTTGTATGCAGGCGTGTATTACGTTGGCTGTTTCGTAGATCCGTAGAATAAGCTTATCTAGGACTAAACCAATAACCCAAAGAAGAAATTTCCAACCTGTGTAGTAGTTTTCCAAATTTTCCCGCCCGTCTCCTAGTTTTGTTAAAAAATTCACGGTAGATTACTTTACAGGACAAGCCTGATGGGTGCTAAATAGTTAAACGCTGGCGATTGTAAAGCGCACGATCCTTTCTCGAGACTCCTTGCACGAGTACACCTCTCGCAGCACCGTCTTGCCTACTCGATTTCTAACACCGATGTAAAATTGTCGTTCGTACCGCAGTGTGCTGTTCGTCGCGACGCTCGTATCTCACAATTTCCGCGGACCGCAGAAATTTCATCGTCGTGAGCCGACGGCTAGCGAAGGTTGCTACAATTTTAGTGCGTTTACGCAAGGATCGCGATCTGTGATATTCTTAAGCAGTACTTAAGCGACTCGGGGGACTACTTCCGGGCGAGCGTTCTCGATGGTCGACGATAGAGATAATTATTCGTATCGGTCCATCGGTACACTGTCACGCCAGCCATCGTCGACGACGTCCCGACGTCCCCGGTCGAATCGAAAGCATAAAAATCACGTTATTTAAACACCGTTGTAAATGTAAATGGCTGATAACTAATATGGCAAATAAATATGGTTTATATACAAAGATCTTTTAAAAGTTTCAGCATCGCCTCGGGCGTACGTAGACGAACACAGGTCAGTTTATTTTATTTTATTTGTTACACGTATTTTAAGGTGTCTACCATAACGATCGACGAATTGCTTTATTTTAGCCCCATAGAATATAATCGATCGAAACCCGGGGCCCTCTGTGTATCAAGATTTTCTTAGACATGAATATGCATCTAGGATAGAATACCGATCGATTCATCAATTGACACGGAGACAAACGAAAGTCTCGACGTTTCTCTGCTTCTAACCTCACGAAAACCACGACGAGAGCATAGTTGAATAGTTCGCGAGGCTGAAACCTACCGGTATTCAAAGTCGTGTAAATTTTCAAATTGATTCTTGGAGCGTTTCGTTTCACATGCGCGATAATTGTTACGCGGCGAAACATCGAAGGCTCGAGGCCTACGTCCGAGAATGAGTCCTCCGACAGATGATCTAATATGTCACCGGCTGCCTGGCACCTCCTGATTCTCTGGGTAACATTGACGCTAAAATACTGTAGCCTATTCGTTGCGAGGTTCCCTTTGGAAACGTTCGTTATTTATTGTCCGATCGATCTGTGCAGATGACACTCGTCTCTTGTCCCAGAATAAGCACGGCACGTTTCCCGTACGTGTCGGAGTTCGAGTACGTTCCGCGGCTTCATCCTTCCAGGAATCCCGATTGTCGATCGCGACACCCCCGGAAAGAGCAAATCGGCGATGACTTTAGCGACTGGAGTCGACCCGCGATCCAAGTCAGAGCGATGCTCTCTCCTTGCTCGAAAACGTACGGTATCCTCCTGTCTCCCTCGAGATCCTTAAAAAATCTTTACGTAATTGCAAAACGCTTGTAGGAAACGCAGTCGCGAAGAGGACCAGGATCGAGGATCGGTCGCAAACTGCACGCGGAAAATAGTTTTCAGTATGAAGTTCAACAATGTCGGGAAGGTAATTCTATCGGAGATCTCAGACTCCTTTACGTTGATGCGATAATCATCCTTCGGTTTAAATAATACGAAGAAACTGTTGTCAGACCGAAACTCAAGAAAAATTTGTAATAATCGATCACGTGCTGGACCCTGTCACGACAAGGAAGATTCCTCTGCAGAATCCATACGTGATTAAAGTCCGTCAGGAGGCCGTGTTGCAAATGTACGGATTAAAATTCCAAAGTGTAAGTAGCGACTCTAGATCTATAGATCGCTTGCAAAATGAAACGCTGTGACCCGTTGTCGGGGCCTCTGTTGGTAACTTATCGCGATGGAAACTACATCGATGGAAGGTTACGAAGCACCTCCAGCTTGTCGGCTCCAGATAAGGTTTTATCCACAGATGAGGTACACGAGTATACTTTTCATCTTATGGACTTTCGTGGTTCAATCTCACTGCCACACCGACCTGAAAAATCGTAGGTGATTTTAGCGTCCTCTTCACATGGATGGCGGTCGGTTGAGAAACTATTCACTGAATTAGTATTGATAGGCAAATTATAGTGCGTGGATAAATACGTGTGAGTTGACTATGTAGGGATTAAAATTCATTTCTGAATCTGTTGGTAACGTTGTGAATGATACGAAAATGGTAATGGGGTTTCGAGACCCCATAAGAATGGGCCTAAATAATACATTGGGTGAAAGGTGTACTCATGTGTGGTTTTATCTGGCGCAATGTTTTACCCATCGTTGATCGAGTACCAGCAGAGTAGCCGGCGAGATTTCGCGGGCAAACGTATTGATCCCGCGATTTTGAACAAGGTTGTTAACGCAGAGGCAAAGGAAGAGGTGATCAACAACGAGAGCCCGAATTATAGGGGCTGTAACGTTGACGTAGCCAATCCGACTTGCGGACAAACGTTCTTGCGTGGAGAACCAGTCCCGTTCAGTCAGGTAAATTGGCGAGCACACTTTTCGATAAAACAAGAACAAGTCCTATGTTTCTATCCGTGCTATTCGAGCTGGCCATACAAGCGGTTGATAGTTGAGCTAAATTCGATACACTTAAATTCATAATTGGGAAACAGTTTGTAACGAATGCTCGCGAGGACGAAGAAGTATTACGAAACTTAAGAAAATCGTAGGCGACGCAGTCTTGCAAGCTGCGATCAAAGTGTAAACCGAGGAGGGCAAGGTATCGGAAATTACAGACGATCTCGGTTGTAATTTTAGGCCGAGAGAGAAAGAGAATTTGTCGGTCGCGTAGACAGCTCGATCGATTAAAACAATGGCCCAGCGACCGGGAGATTCGCGGTGAAATCTGGGTTCAGCAAACACGGATCCCAAGCCGGGAAAATGTTTCCATTGGGAGGATCCTGGTGGACCGTAAATAACTCGTACCAAACAATTCCAGGGTTTCTGTTGTTCCTGCGAACCGAAGGTAAACGCCAGACATCAGTCCGACGGTTCGAACTACTTCTTGGAAAGTTTCGCCGGCGAAGCCAAGTCGAGCTACAACGATGGTACAAACAAACCTCGCAACAGGTTACGGACGGAGACCGAGTACAGGGGTTTAGACGACAATCCGATGGCGCGGCGCCAGGGCAAAGAAAACGAAGCTCGATCGGGGAAGAAGTCAAACACGCCGGACGTAAATCCCGATAGGGGACCAACGATCGTCGCGAACGATGCTTGCCGGAGGAAAGACGCGTCGAATAAACCGTTGGACACGGTCTCGACGAGGAGACAGGAAAGCAAAGAAGCCAGCGACCTAGACGGATCCTCGAGAACCACGGAGGAAGCCTCGAGCTCGCGAGTTATCAATTCTATCGTTCGAGAAAAGTATTCGAGAAACCAGGCTGACGGCTCGTCGACGTCTGTGTCCTCCTCGTCCCAGAAACCGCCGTCTGGAAGGTCGCCAAGCGGCCATAAAATAGCAAACGTCTCCGAGAAAGAAGCCGGAAGACGAGATTCCGCGAAAACTAACCGCGGCTCGAAGAAGGAAGTCCAAAAGTTTTTGGTGGCCAAGGAATCGGACGAACGGACGAATCGATCTTCCAATAAGAAGGCTACTTTCGAAAGGAAGACGATAGAAGACGGAAGAAAAGGATGCACCGATCGTCCGACCGCAAAATCGGCCAAGAAGATGAACAGAACGATCGGTACTCTCGCGATTCGACCTGCTATGCATTTAAACGAGCCTTTAAAAAATTTGTCGACTGGTTTATCGTACGGGGATAGATCTACGGAGCAGAGGGGTCGAACGGAGGCTGCCAGGGAACGCAATTTGAATAGCGTAATGGAAAGTACATCCTCGCAGCCGGATATTATAGTCGAGAGTTTCGACGAAGAACACGAAGTGGGGGGATCCGGATATTTTCAATCGAGCGGTAACGAGGGGAGCAAGAGGTTGACGGGAAATGTTAAGGATAACGAGTCGGGGCTGTTCGCAAGAATGCCCGCCGCCGAGGAAAAGATGTCGTTGAAGAAGCTTCTGATCAAGGAGACGGTCGAAAATTATACACCACAGAAGAGAACTTTGAAAGACTTATCGTTTAGAGACAAATACGATCTGGAGCTCAAAAGTGCTAGGAATCGTGGTAGGAACCAGCATCGAAAGAAGAGGCATTTTGTTCATTTGCGATCGACGCCGCGTAGATCGAGAACGCGAGGTCGTCGGAAGAGGAGCAGGAAGATCGACGAGGACGGGGAGCCTCCGTCGAAGACTTCCGGTCGCGACGTTCAAGTCTACGTAGGAGATTTCAGGTAGAGATTGTCATCTTGTAGAGCTTCTAGCCTTTACATTAATTATTTTGTTTCTTTTGTCTTTGACTCCAGAGCCTCGAAGGATCAGAAGGGGAAGGAAAGCGATTACGGTTTGCAAGACAACGTGGATAAGCAGATCGAGGAAAAGTTTAGTCGCATAAGCGACGCGCTGAAGGAAGACGCGATGGGGCCGAGAGTAATTTCGAAAAAGACGGGAGCAGAATCGACGAGCACGGAGACGGCTAATAAAATGGAGAGGAATTTCCACGGAGTCGAGGAGTCACAGAATACATTTAACGAACCGAACGAAGCCTCCTCGCGTCGACGAAATAACGAAGCTTTCGACGACGAAACCGTCGAGACGGTTCCTGGTGAAAACGCGGAGGCGTTTGACGGAAAAGTTCCGCAGCGCCGCGTCGAAAGTTCCGATCGATCCGAGGGGAACGAAGATATTTACGGGGAACTCTCGTTCTCGAACCAACGAGGCGACCAATTAGCGGACAGGAGTTCGACAACGACCGATTCCGAGCAGCTCGTTTCACCGCCGAAAGAATCCTCGATTTCGAGTTCTTTCGCGCCGATGGAAGACAACGACGCGAGTGGAGCGACGAAATCAACAACAGAGGGATCCACGCAAGCTCTGATCGTGATCGATGTCTTCAAGTTCGCGACTGCACCCTCCGTCGAACGATTCGATACTCCGGTCGAGGAGATTCTGAGATTCGAGGATCGATGGAAGCTCGATAAGACGGAAGATTCGAACAAATCTGCGGAGAAAGCAATGATACAATCTCCTGAATTCAGACCGGTCCACAGGACCTTCGAAATCGCTGAAACCACCCCTGTGTCGTTGACGGAGAACGCAACCGTCGATACGACGACCGTTCGAACGACCCTGATTACGGACCAGACTTTCCGTGCATCGATCGAATCGATCGAGAACGCGGCGAAGCAGACGTCGTTCGAATTCCACAACGAGGTTGTCATCGACGGGGTAACGTTCCCGGACGAGACCGTAGCGTCCACGATGAAAAAATTACCAGGTTTCGAGTCGATTTCGGCCAACACCGAGGCGACCACGAGAAAAACCAAACTCACGATGGGGTTTCCGGGCAGGAAGAAGAGACGGACGACGCCTTCGACGATTAAGGGCGATTTAGCCCTCAGAGGCGAGAGGAGCTTGCACGAAGGGAAGGGGGACTCGTCGCGACCGGAATCGCCGATGCAA